GCTGCCGCAGTCTCGGAGAGCTCTCGGGCTTTACGGCTGAAGGGATCAGACTGGAAGAACAGCAGAACTGAAGCTGTCTCTGCTTCTGAATCACTTCACGGAGATCCGAATCCTTCACGAATCTTCGGTGTCGAATCAGTTCAGAGCGCGAATCAAACGTTTGAGGTCACGTGATTTCAGCAACTCCACAGCTCATACACACAGAGAGAGCGTTCACTGTACACACACACACACACACACACATATGACCCTGCTTATTTATACTAACTATATATATATATATATATGTGAGTGTGTTTAAACAGGACAGCTGGAGTCAGTTAACTCATATTGTTCCTATTAATTCTACAAATGTCCTGTGGTTGTAAATTAAGCACACAGTAAATGAGCAGAGTTAACTATAACAGCATCACCACTGCACTCCCTGCGCCATCACACACACACACACACACACACACACACACCGAGAAACTACAGGGATTCCTCACAGTCACAATACTTCCACCAGCAGGTGTCGCTGTATGAACGAGGGAACAGATAGATATGGGAGATGTTCAGAAGCTGAGCTGTGGAGGACTGTACTCTCTTACAGGACTGAATCCGGGTCTGTGTGTGTCTCTGTGTGACTGAATCCGGGTCTGTGTGACTGAATCCAGGTCTGTGTGTGTCTCTGTGTGACTGAATCCAGGTCTGTGTGTGTCTCTGTGTGACTGAATCCGGGTCTGTGTGACTGAATCCGGGTCTGTGTGACTGAATCCAGGTCTGTGTGTGTCTCTGTGTGACTGAATCCGGGTCTGTGTTTCTCTGTGTGACTGTATCCGGGTGTGTGTGACTGAATCCGGGTCTGTGTGACTGAATCCAGGTCTGTGTGTGTCTCTGTGTGACTGAATCTGGGTCTGTGTTTCTCTGTGTGACTGTATCCGGGTGTGTGTGTGTCTCTGTGTGACTGTATCCGGGTGTGTGTGTGTCTCTGTGTGTTTTGTATGTTTGTTAAAGTCCTCAAGTAATCATAACTCTTCTCTCTGATGTGGTTAGCTCACATTGGCAGTTTAGTGCTGAGCAAAATAAATAGTTTGATTTATTTATTTTTTTAATCTTTAATTGAAATCTGCAAATGCACTTCCTCTTAGTTTTCAGTTAAATGATCAGATTACGTGATATTGAGGCAATGGGCGGGGCTAACATACTTAACCACGCCCCTTCAGCTGGCAGGTATAGAATTGGGGAGGAGTCTATTAGCCTGTAATAACTCTCCACAAACCCCTCCCCATCCGTCTGAATGACACACCTACTTTACTGCAGCCAATCATGCCGACTGTTTACTCGTTTAATATTCTGTTTCTATAGCAACACGGCTAATGATCAGAGCTTCATGCGGACTCTAGGAAAGCGTTATAGATGTAGTGATGATCAGCGCTGAGGCTGCGGTATTAGACATTAATGAACACAGTAAAGCTCAGTGTGCTGCTGCTGCTGCTGGATATTACACACCTCTCCAGCTGATCTGCTCTTCCTCCTCCTCCTCTTCCTCCAGGATGGTCTTCTTCACCTGTGACGGCTGTGGAGAGTCCCTGAAGAAGGCTCAGGTGGAGAAGCACCTGCTGAAGTGTCGCTCCTGTCATGTTCTGTCCTGCATCGACTGCGGCGCAGACTTCAGGTGTGTGTGTCTGATGTGTGTGACACTGATGTGTCTGTGTGTGTGTGTGTGTGTGTGTGTGTGTGTGTGTGTGTCTGATGTGTGTGACACTGATGTGTGTGTGTGTGAGTGACACTGATGTGTGTGTGTGTGTGTGTGTGTGTCTGATGTGTGACACTGATATGTGTGTGTGTGTGTCTCATGTGTGTGACACTGATGTGTGTGTGTGTGTGTGTTTGTGTGTGTGTGTGTGTGTGGTCTCATGTTTCTCCGTGTTCTCCTTCAGAGGGTTCAGGAGGCCGTCAGCCGGCCGGATGTGGGGTCAGAGCTGCAGCAGGTCCTGCGCCGCCTCAGTGTGTATGAGAACGTGCCCCGCAAGAAAGCCAAGTTTGAGGTGAGTGTGTGTGTCTGACTGTGTGTGTTTGTATGAGAGTGTGTGTGTTCTAAACGCTGCCTCTGGTGTGTTTGTGAGCAGAACTGGATGAGGAACTGCCTGAAGATCCACAGTCCACATTTACTGAAGCAGGTCTGGGAGATTCTGTCCACGGCGGCCGACAGCGTAAGAGTTCCAGATACACAACACACACTCACTGAAACACACCTGTTCTGTTACACACTAACACACACTCACTGAAACACACCTGTTCTGTTACACACTAACACACACTCACTGAGACATACACTTGCTGAGACACACACCTGTCCTAATACACACCATCACACACTTGCTGAGACACACACACACACACCTGCACATCTGCTCTACATCACTGCTGTAAAGTGACTCTGGGGTTTGTTGTGATTCAGAATGGGAAACCAGCGAGTCGAGAGACGACAGAAAACTGCGAGAGCCGAACAGACCTGAAGAACGGCACTGAGGAGGAGGAGGACCAGCGGAAGAAGAAGAAGAAGAAGAACAGGAAGACTTCAGAGGAGCAGAACGGACATGAGAAACACACACAGAAACAGAAGAGGAAGAGAGAACAGAACGAACAGAACACAGACGGAAAGAACAACAAGAGACAGAAGAAGAGCAAGCAGGAAGAGCCTGACGGTGAGGATCATGACCGAGTATTGTTTCTGTCTCTAATAGAATGATGCTCATCTGTTTCCTCTCTTCTGACCTATCAGAGAGCCTGAATGAGGAGGGGGAGGAGCCAGACAACCAAGAGACTGAACCAAACTCTACAGGTCTGTCTCACACAACACTGCAGCATCAGACTCAGACTGTGCTATAATGACTGTAAACACTGCAGCATCAGACTCAGAGTGTGCTATAATGACTGTAAACACTGCAGCATCAGACTCAGACTGTGGTATAATGACTGTAAACACTGCAGCATCAGACTCAGACTGTGGTATAATGACTGTAAACACTGCAGCATCAGACTCAGACTGTGGTATAATGACTGTAAACACTGCAGCATCAGACTCAGATCTCCTAATCCTGTTTCTCCGTCTGCAGCAGGGAAGTTTAATTGGAAAGGCACGATAAAGGCGGTTCTGAGAGACGCTCCTGAAGAAGGACTCGCTGTCAAAAAACTGCGCAAGAAGGTGAGCTGAACTCCCGCGTCAGTGGTCGGTCGGCTGTGTTCACTGTGATCTTTGACCTTCACATGTCTGTGTTCTGACTCTTCTGGACGGTGTTTGCTGCTTCTCCAGGTTTTAGCTGCTTATTATTCCTTCAGTGGAGACAGAAACTACAGGTCAGAAGAGGAGCTGCTGTCTCTGTTCAACAGGAAGATCAACACCAACCCCAAGTTTAAGATCTTGAAGGACAGAGTGAGACTGCTCAAATGATGATAATAAACATCATACTGAGCAGACGTGTGTGTGTGTGTGTGTGTGTGTGTGTGTGTGTGTTCAGTTCAGTTCAGTTCTGCCTGGCGCTCCACACACTCGACATCTGTCATTTCTGTTGTGTTATTTCTGACATTATTGTCATTTTAAGAGCGGGTCAGCCAGTGATTGTATAATGGATTAACTGCAGATAGACCAAAGCTGTTCATCCTCAACTTTATATGTTTAGATTCTGTCATTTAGTTTTTAATAAACGTCTGCAGATGAGCTCAGTGGTGATGCAGTAAATGTGTTGCAGAATGGCTTTTACTGCTGTCTGTGATGAAACGTGTGGGTCTGGCTGAGCTCCGTCAGTAGTTTTGTGAGCTCTGCTGGTTATGGAGTTATTCCAGAGAGTGGATGAGCCCACAGGCTGTACAGTCAGACCAGATGAGGCTGACCTTCATGAATATGTAAACATGATGTGGGATTTACGATGCATCAGAAGTATGACTGAGCTCATGTGTTGCGTGAGAGGTGGATATATTGATTATATACATCCGTCTGCAGCTCCAGTGTTAAATCCTGCTTCAGTCGGTCAGATGAGGGTCCACTGTTACATAAGCGCAGCACAGATCCTTTAATAATGCGCTATAGTCAGCTTTGAGCTGCGGGACGGTTTAATTTTCTAACAATAGAAGGAAAATATGCAAAAACACCCTTTTATGTGTCCATTTTAAAGCAATAATTCCCCATAAATCACAATTCTGTCAGTAGTTGGACCCTGAATGACAGCAAATCACCAAACTAACAAGCAAATAAACAAACTAACCCATCAGGAGGCGGCGTAATCACCTCTATCAGCTCATCTTTCCTGCATCATCCAAAATAAATAACATAAACAAACAAAAGAGCCCTATTGCTCCTCCCCTTCATCTGCAGCCCCTCCCCCTTCATTTAGCTATTTAAAGTGGACTTGTTCTTCAAAGATTGTTCAGTGAAGGCACTATTTATAACACAGAATGGCGTTAACTGGAGGCTGCACAGACATTTATTTCAATATGATGACGTATTTCTAAGTGAACCGGAATATTGAGTAGGGGCGGGGTTTTACTTTTGGGCTCCGCCTTCCATCAGCAAACTAACGGTTGGAGAGGCGTGGCTCAGCCCATCAATCTGACATCATCAGAAAAGCGTTGTTCCAGAGCGGAAGTAGACGGTAAGATTCTTATTGAATATCATCCGTACAGTGTGTTAACTTGCACAGATTGTTAATGGTTCATATTAAGATCGTAAGTAAATCTTGATTTTAATGTGGATTTAAGTGTCAGCACATGACTGTAAGCCTCACCTTTATGTCTGCATGTTCTGAGCGCGTACACCCATCTGCAGGTCATTCATCATGTTTAAGTTCTGAATGTTTGCTCTCACCTCAAGTAGTGAGTGTTGTGATGTTCATTTCACCTCAGTAAACTGCAAATGTGCTGTATATGAAGTGCACTACTGCACATGGGGCAGTGCGCGAGGTCTGGGTCGCGCACGCGCAGCTAGTGTCCTCAGGGACGCGCATCGCGGGTGGCGCTGGTGCGCGCGCATGAGCTGAATCGGGCTGTTGTGTCGGGCTCCGGTTCCTCCGAGGGCCAGGGTTCATTTGGCCCCGGGCCGCGCAGAGGCTCCAGCAGAGAATGAGCTCCTGTTAGCGGCGCTCGGAGACTCTTAATCCCGCGCTCAGCTGAAACCGTATCGCCGGACGGGTTTAACTCGCCTTAAGCTGGACTTTAAGCAGGACTCGGGCTGGTTTTACTGCTGTCATTTAAAACTGCAGCGCTGTCCTGCTCACACACACACACACACACACACACAGACACACACACACACACACACAGACATTACTGCTGACCAGAAGCGCCACATTGAAACATACTGAAACAATCTATAATCAATACTGCAGTGTTCTTGATCCATACTGTGGTAAAGTTAATCTGCTGTGGTGATTCTACAGTTGCTATGGTAACATGACAACTATATTGATTGATCTGCTATATTGACACACACATGGACAGCCCTGTCTGATCATCAGCTGGATGACCACTTTACTTTCTCCCGCAGGGATTGAGGGAAATGTTGAGACATGCTCTAGAAGCACATGGCCGGAGTCAGCAAAAGCAGCGCAGTGTGCAGTATGTAAGGTATACGTCTGCGATAAACTCGCACAGAACACTATTGTTCTCCACCTCGCTGTCCTGAAGGATTCTTGGAAACAGGAGCACAAACCCAGTTCTGCCACAGCCTCACGAGACGCTGGTCTGCTGTATTGTCTGTTTGGGTGAGAATCAAATGTGCTCAGCTTTTCTGAGAATCACACACACACACACACACACACACACAGACTGACGGAAGTTTGACGTTCAGATGTGCTGAAAGAGCTGCATTATGAAGCGTAAAGGTCTTTTGTGCGCTGGGCTCAGAACCTGATACTCTCCTGAAGTCACGGACGCACACACACAATCCCGGTTCTGTGCTGCCATGCAGATAAGAGGTAAACCAATCGCTCCAGATCTGCATCAATAATATGACGTGATCTGGAGTATTGGAAGGCCTCGCTGTGTTCCTATGAGAATCTGATACTGGTAAATCGGTTCGGGTTTTCCAAATATCCGCTGGGTTTCATCTTCTGGGTGTCAGGATATTTCCACGCTTTCCAGACTCAGATGTGGGAGCAGACGGAGATAATCATCACCTCAGTGCTTCTCTTACTCAGAAACAGCTCAAACTATTAACAAACCAAACTCAGACGATCACTATACTGAAGACTTCAATGTGTGTGTGTGTGTGTGTGTGTGTGTGTGTCTGTGTGTGTGTGTGTGTGTTTGTCCCTTTATTCATTCTTTTTTCTTTGCATGTTTGTCCCTCTTCAGTGTGTCAGATGATCAAACTAATGTAAATATTAGTCACAGATAACACAAGTAAACACGTCATGCAAGGTTTTATTAGGGAGTGAAAACAAAATGGGAAACTAACCCTGATTCAGCATCTGCCGTCCAGCATCCACCGTAACTCACAGTGAGTCTGTTCAGGGCCGTGCAGGCGTTCAGATCACTCCTCTCTCAGAACTACGGTCACTCTGACACATTATTAGAGGCTTTTCCTGCATGAACCCAGCATTAAGCTCATGCCACAGCATCTCAATCGGGTTCAGGTCAGGACTTTGACTAGGCCACTGCAAAGTCTTCATTTTGTTGTTCAGAAGTGCACCTGCTGGTGTGTTCGGGTCACTGTTCTGCTGCAGAACGCAGGTGACCTTCAGCGCGGGTCTCTCAGACACAGGTGGATGTTCTCCTGCAGGGTTCATGATCATGATCAGTCCTCCAGGTCCTGAAGCAGCAGAACGTCCACCACAGTTTCCTGATGTGTGTGATCAGAGTGTGTGGTGTAAGTGCAGCTGAAGGGCTGTTTTGGTGTACAGATATCTCCTACTGCTGAAATACACACATCTACACACTGACCGCGAGCCGAAGAGGCTGAAATCTGAAATGATGTGAGTTCAGCAGGAGCAGTGTATTTCCCAGGTGCTGCAAGACCTGTAGAGTCTGCAGTTTCTCCAGTGTGTGTGTGTGTGTGTGTGTGTGTGTGTGTGTGTGTGTGTGTGTGGATCAGTTGTGCTCCACATCGTGCTCCAGCTGGCAGGAAACTCTATCTGTGGTGTATTTAGCGAGCGGCTGTTGGCAGGATACAGTATTCCACACCTGTGCTCACCTGTGCTGCTGTCTGAACAGCTGCCCTCCTGAACCCGCTCACAGGTGACGCTCAGCTGATCCCGGACCTGCTGAACCTGCAGAAATGCCCACACACACACACACACACACACACACACACACACACACACACACACACACACAGCTCTGCAGGCAATCCTGTGGGGGACAGTAACAGGGTCTGCTGTTGTGCTGATGGTTATTGAAATAGACATTAGTTTAGTGTGTACCTCTAGGAAGCATGTTTACCCTCAGCAGTGCACTCAGCAGTGTTCGTTGTTTATTTCTTTATAAAAATGCCACATTAAATTAGAAAATACTGCAGTCTTTTTGGTCGATACTATAGTAAAGAGTATATTAGAGTATTTTCTTTAAGCCTTTGTTAATGAACTCTCCGGCATGCTGAGGTGTTAACTGTAGTTTTATATGACTGTAGCTGTAATAAAGTATAAACTAGAGCTGCAGAAAACTACAGGGCTGCCTCATTTGTTTATGCGACAACAGTTATTGTGTTACCATAGCAACTGTAGAATCACCACAGCATGAATCAGCGGTGTTTTATTACAGTATGGGTTAGGGTTAGTGTTTATGAGTTGGTTTGTGTCATCATAAACAGCACACACACACACACACACACATATGATAACTATAAGCAGAGATTATGAACTGAATGTGCGCCCAGTCAGACTGCAGCCTCTCTCTATAACGCCAGAGCAGATCAGGTGTCAGCTTTAACAGCTCTACTCTACTGGCACGACGAGCTCTTAATGTGACATTAAACCGCCGTGCTCCCTGACGCAAGTTCGCAGATTCGGGTCGGTAATCGGTGAAACGAATCCGACTCGGTTCGGACCCGGCGACTCACTTGAATCTCCCGAGCCTCCGTCGCTGGAGAGTGACGTCATCAGCCGAGCGCCATGGCGGACTTCAGTGAGGTGATGAACCTGCGGCGGCGATTCAAAACAAACGAACAAGAAGAGGAGAGAGAGCAGAGTGAGACACACACACACACACACACACACACACACACACACACACACAGCAGCGCTGTTCTTTAACTAATGTCGTGATGTGTTATGTGGACGTTTGTCGTTAAAGTATTGTGTTATTCTGTGTTGTGCCTAAGTTGTTGTCAGGTTGTGTTAGTGTTGTAATGCTGAGCTGGAGCTGTGTTTGTGCTGATGTGCTGTTGTCTGTGTTCTCATGTTGATGTGTTGATGTCGAGATGTGTCAGTGACGTCATGTGTTATGTTGTTGTTGTTTTCATGTTGTGTTAGTATTGTTGTGATGATGTTGTTGTGTTGTCATGCTTGTGTTACGAGTTGTTGTTGTTGTTGTTGTTGTTGTTGTGCAGGCTCTGGTGCTGATGCGGCTGAGGAAGTGAAGACGTCGGCTCGGATCAACCGTCACTCAGTGTTCTGGATCGTGTCCGCCGCCGCCGTCACCTACTATGTGGACTTCATCTCTGTGCTGCTGAACCACGGCGACATTCACAGGTCAGCTCAGCTCAGCTCGAGTGTGTTTGTGTAGCGCTTCACTAATGATGCAGATTACACCGGTACACTACAGTCCATCTCTGCAGAGTGAGGGCTATTATTATTATTATCATTATTATTATTATTATTTTTATTATTATTATTATTATTATTAGTTAAGCTTATTCGTTATTAATAACTCTAACCAATTAACTAGTCACTAACAGCTGTCATCAGTTCATTCAATCATTTCCTTTGGCTTAGTCTCTTTATTAATCAGAGGTCACCACAGCGGAATGAACCGCCAACTATTCCAGAATATGTTTTACACAGCAAATGCCCTTCCAGCTGCAACCCAGTACTGGGAAACATCCATACACACTCATTCACGCACACACACACACACACACACACACACACACACACACACACACACACACATATTAAAGATCAACGTGAACATGAAGCACACACACACATGTAAAGCAGTGGAGTGTTTCTAACACAGTGTCTGCTGCATGAGGACAGGAGGAGTGTGTGCTACAGGTGGTCTGTCAGCCCTCTCACCTGTGTGGAGCACACTCATGCATCATAGCGTATGTGCTGCAGTGTGTGTTACTATAGAGATGTGTCTTTACTCTAGTGTTCAGCTGAGAGAGAGTGTCTGAGTGTTATCAGGAAGCCATAAATGAGAAGGCCTGACCTCCTTTAGTGGACTCTGCTCTTCTGAAGCTTCTGAAGGGTTGGGTTGTAGCGAGACAGAAGCTGGGTCAGATGAACAGGAGCTGGGTTATTCACAGCTTTATAGGTAAGACGATCAATACTGGACTGAACAGCGGCCGGTGTCAGCAGGAGAACACTGGGGGATGAGGACATGTCTGCTGGAGCTGATCCGACTCTGGCGGCTGCATCTTCACTGACTGAAGCTTATTGATAGAGGATGCTGGAGCAGCAGAGCATTACAGTCATCCAGAGACTAACCGAGCTCTGCAGCTCACTGCGCTAAACACCTGAAACACTCCTGAGCTCACACACACACACACACACACACACACCTGTCCTCCTGCTGGATTACAGAGCTCCAGTTACACACACACACACCAGCACACACAAACAAAAGCACTCTGCATTCTCACACACACAACAAAGGCAGATCAGCGCAGGAATGTTCCTCAGTGCAGCTCAGCACACGCCTCACCTGACAGAAGGTCTGGCCGTACCTGTGCACAGTGGAACAAGAGGAGTTCAGTGTATGCACATGCCATACCGTGAGCCAGCGCTGTTTCCTGTTCTCGTGTAAATTACACAGGTGTGTACCCTCAGCGAAAATCAGGCCAATCACAACACGATACAGGCCGATGTGTTGTGCTCAGGCCACGCCCTCAGCATTTGCATGTACTTTTATTTTGTAAACAGTAGACGCAGCTGCAGATC